ATAGGCACAGGATTGATAGATTAGAAGGAGTAGCGGTCACGTCTCGTCCAGCGTCAGGTTCTGTGTTCTTGATTTTACATTTTTCTCGCTTTACTTCCTGTTTTATTTCCCGGGCCTCCCTCGTGTATCTAGTCTGTGTGTGTATGTAGTTCCCTTTGCCAGTTCGTCTTCGTCCCTAAAGTCAAGCATTGGAGAATTTTCCGGTTGTTTAGTGTTCCTGTTTATTTTTTAGATCTCTGCTCATGTTTTTGACTTTGTCCTCACCGAATCCCTTTTCGGACTGTTTTCCTCACTGACTGCCTTTTTGTGTATCCCGAGTAAACTCTTTCAATCTGTTTCCTGAACTGTCTTTGCACCGGTTCCTCCAGCTCTCTGTACCAGCTTTAACAGCTTTATTGTTGTTGTTCTTGCACTTTACTCTCCTCCACCTACCTAAGCCACCCCCTCCTCCCCCTCTCTCATCATTACTTTATGAACTACCTTATCAGTATCTCGCCCAGTGGAGGAGAATGACTCATTCCTACAATTATGCTTTTATCAACAGGACAAACAACCTTTTCTTTTGTGCCTCCTCGTTCCAATAAAGTAGGAAAAATGTTAAAGAAGACGTCATTTTATAGACTTTTTAGAAAACCTTTTTTTAATCCTTTTATTCAATCTACCCCAAACACATCAATCACACATGAGAGGCAACAATGAGGAAAGAGCGTGTAGCATTTTAAAAAACGTCTAGTTATAGATCACAGCTAAAAAAAAACAAAAAAAACATGAAGAGAGTGTGTTTGAAAAGCTCAGGTAAAGGTGAAACACTTACAATAAGTATTCATGCATGAAGGGAGCTGTAGTTTTTTCCAATCCTATCAAAATAATTATTGTTTAACACTGATTTAAAAATCACACAAAGGGCTCAGAAGTCTAATAGCAAGAGCTGTAGTAGATACTGTGTCCGTCTTTCTGAGAACGCTACGCTTCTACCATGTCCCATAGTACTTGATGTGCCTTTGCCATCAGACCAATCATTATGTATTTCACATTATCATTCTTATCATTACATTGGTAGTTTTTAAGTTGTTAATGTAACTTGAGTTCACACAGCACATGTGCACATGGCAGAAACCTGGATCAGATCAATCAATGACAGAAACTCAATGAGCGACTGCACTGAAACAAAGACGATTAAACGGCTGATTGGCAAGGCCACCGGGGCAATCAGCCTCCTCCTGCGAGAAGGTCGTGCATGCTGCTGAGTTTCATGCAGCTTCAAGTAGAAACAGAAAATAAAAGTTCAAACAGACAAAAGCTGCGTTGAGTCAGTGCGGCACTGTGGAGCCAAACATTGCTGTCGTCCCTTTACTACACTGCAGAGGCTTTCCTGTAGATAAAGAGTTCAGTGAAGGGAGAGAGAGAGGGAGGGCATGACACAGAGTTAAGGGATGAAGTGTGTGTGTGTGTGTGTGTGTGTGTGTGTGTGTGTAGCCCCATTCTGAATATATATGAGTGTTGTTTGCTTAAAGTTTTCAGATACCATAAAACTTTTACCTTGCTCACCTCACTGTGAAGACAATATGCATCCATATGATTTATAACCATCAACAAGGCAACCTTGGTGAATTAAATGCATTTAGGTGTGTGTGTGTGTGTGTGTTTGTGTGTGAGTGTGTGTGTGTGTGTGTGTGTGTGTGTGTCACTTATTGTCGCTGAACCAGACAATAGTCAGTTCAGAACTATATAGCTGAGGCTGCAAAGAGGAAGATTAAAGCAATTTACTCTTGTGCCTCTCAAACACACTTGTCTCTCTCTCTCTCCCCCCCCCCCCCCCCCCCCTCTCTCTCTCTCTCACACACACACAAATGCTTCAAAGTCAACAGATGCTGACTTCAGTGATATTTTTTTTTTCTGTTTGTTTTGTTGTGGGCCTGAAGCAAGAGACTAAGGAGGCAGAAAGGAGAACTCAGGCAACGAAAATAAAGGAAGAGAAGCAAAGATGGAGGCAAAGGAAAGATTGGATGAAAGAAAAGAAAAGAAACTACCACTCGCTAGCACATTCACACACACACACACACACACACACACACACACACACACACACACACACACACACACCACAAACACACACACACACACACACATCAGGCTGTAACAGTGACTCAGTGCTTAGTCATGCATTAAGGAGGCTTTTTTTTCCTGCCCAGAAGGAAAGTGGGAAACTCAGAGGAACCTCATGCACAAAGCAGTTGTCTATATCCAGTGTTATATAGACTGAATGACAGCTGCTACTGTGGCTGTTACTGCTGCACACCCTACTACTGTTACTCCAGCTGATGCCTCTGCCTCCGCTGCTGCTATCAGTTACATTGACCTGTTGCTGTTCTGACACTCGATCGTAGTGTTACTGCTGCAGTTCTACAAACAGGCCACAGTATGTCTCTACTACTGTCACTATGCTGCTAATAGTAGTTGGCTAGTTTAGTTTTTATTCTTGTGTCATGTTGTGGCCCCCGGCTCTGAGACCATGGTGAATAAGGGAAGAGAGAAGTTAGTTTCTACCTCAGTAAGATAATTAAAATGGCACTTTCAACAAATAAGGCAACAGATGGAACCAGCACCAGGCTGACTAAAGAAATACTAAGTTATTTAAACCGAAAATCCTTAACTCTTAACAGAAGACAAGTAGGAACCTGCAACATGAAACTACATCCTTGTAATTTATATGTGTGTGCAACATTTCAAATAGTCAGTGCAGCTAAAAAGAGAAAAAGCACCAATTTCCCCCGAATTTCTCCAAGTGAGAGGCTAACCGTGTTTTTGTGTTTGAAATATAAACTGTGTTTGTACAAGACAAACAAAATGAAATTCGATGTACTACAACCGGCGCTGCTACCATTTGGTACCAATATATGCTTGAGGATTGATTTTTCACTTCTCATATTAGGCTTGTGTAACAGTGATGAAGTTCAGCAGAAGCTCACTAACGAGCAGCGTCTGATCTAAACTTCACCGTGAGTCATTACGCATCAGCAGTGAGTCAGCACTGAGACAGAGCTGCAGCAACCTCTGCAGTGCACTGCTCTTTATAAGGGCCTGTTTTCTTAAAGTGATTATGTCTTTGGTATCTGTCAGTCCTGTTTTTGCATGGATAAGTGGATGACTATTAGTCTAACATTTGGTGTTTTGGTCCTGGTTTTGTCTGATATTTATCTGTATTTTCTGGCGTTTTAACCCTCAGTCAATTGTGTTTTATTCCAATATTCACAGATTTTTTTTTTTGTCCTGACTTTTTCCATTATTTGCTGGGGGTTTGACCTTTATGTGGACTGATCCACCTAATTTTTCTGGTGTGACCACATTTTTATGTAACGTGCATACCTCTGCACTGATGCCATTCACTGCCACTCACGCACACTTGTTTTCTTTTTGGAAACACAACTACTAAGGCAGAAATATCTTGTCTATTAAGAACTTTTTTTCCATTCAAAGCAATTGTTCCTGTCATCCTTCCTTCTTTCATGCTGCACAGGTTAATTGTGTGGGTATTTTTCTTCTGTGGTGAATAGACAGTATGTCATTATGTGCAATCATTTGTGCTAAGTTTCTCTTGAATCTTTCATAAACATTTGGATGTACACAGTGAACGTTTGAGAGAAAACTGTCACACATGCAGCCTCTGCAGTGTCTGTCATTCTCTCTGTTATCCATCATCCTCTTGTTCAATCCAGTTTTCTGCTGTTTTCTCAGAAGCATAATGTCGATGGCTCAATAGTAATAATAATGGCAACATTTCAGCGCATTGTTTGTTTAAATGCCACTTAGTCACAGATTTTTCTCATTTAATAGGCTTTTCTTGTCTGCCTTTCTTACAAGGTTGCTGTTATTATTTTTTCTTTTGCTTTTTACACTAATGCAATGAAAATAAAAACATTCAACAATCTTTTTTTTTTTTTTTTTTACATGGTGAAAAATATATTGCAGCTACGTATTCTTTTTGTCCCATTTTCTCTTCTCTTTAAATGTTCACAAAGTACACATAACAAAAAAGCAAATCAGACATATTAAGTACGGAGCCGTTAAAAAAGGTGCTCGAAAGTAATAAAAATCCACAATAACAGGGACGTTATTTCAATAATCTTTCTCTCCTAAGCCTACTGGTAAAAACAAGTTTCAGTACGATCAAAATGATTAATGTGGCTAACCAAGATAGAGACAGACAGAGGAGAAACAGAAACAAACTGCTTGGACATCAGGGAACGAAGTGAACTTTACTCTCAGGAGAGTGTCTCTCACCCCAGAGTCAGATTTGTCGGGTCATTTTTGTTTTGCTCATCTTTGTTTTGTTCTCCGTGAGTTACACTGTGAGAAAAGTCCATAAACACAATTTTCACCACTGAGCCTGAAGTAATAAAACACCATCACAGCCGCAGAATAACAATTCGACTGCTTGTGTTGCCTCGGGCTGCTCGCTGCTTTGTTTTCTGATCAGCCATCCGGAACATATTTGGGTGTGTGTGTGTGTGTGTGTGTATGTGTGTGTGTGTCTTGTCATAGATCACAGTGTCCTTCATTTGTGACATATTTAAAAAATTTAAACTTAAAAAAAAATGCAAGGAAATGATAAATACGCTCCATTTGGCCCAATTAGGTCTCACTTCAGAGGGAGTTTGTGAACCTTGACGGGCACTGAAGGACAACGTGATGCACAAAGCTACACGGGGAAACACTTGCACACACAAACGTACGTAACAGACGTTCAAACACACTCATGGAATCAGTGCATTTAATTGTTTTTATTGCATTTAATTCTGCAGGCCAGGGGAGATGAGTCCATGACCATGTGTAATCCTTTTCTGAGGAGCTCTATTGGAAAGAACAGGATGTGTTTTGGGTTTAGTCAACCAACTAATGTGGGGACTTTTCACCTTGAAGACATTCGGTTTTAATCCAGTGGTCTTGCCAAATTTTCTGTGTCGTGATGCATGTGTTCTGGGAAAATGAGAGTTCAAAAATTGAGTGTCCAAGTGTGTTAATTAACTTTATTTGAGTGAAAAATTGCGATAATAATGATAATAAAAAGGTTCTCACAGTGTCAACCCCACTGCAGTTCCCCCTACTGGTTTCACCTTGTTGTCATTGTTTTACAATCTGCAGCTTTATTGTTTTGGGTCAAAGTCTCATTGCTTTCATCAACCCTCTATCAAGATACAGCTGTTTTCACCAAAAAAAGAAAGAAAGCTCTGACAAACCCTCTTTAAGCTGCCTACCCTGTATCAAATCATTATATAAGAATATAGATTTCTAACATAGAATTTTATCGAAGACAAACCAGTCAAGTAATCCCATTTGTGATTATAAGTGCTTCATTAATGTGTAAAAAATGTTTTTGTACTTGATACAATAAGAAGAGCCCTCGTGGCCAAACAGTGAATTAGATATGCGGGCACAGGAATCTTAAATTGCACATAGTTTCACATTATGCAAAACCAACCAGTACATACAGCGACAGAAAAAGGACAAAGAGCGAGGTGAAGTGAGCCATCACATTATCACCACCGCCAAATATGCTCTCATCATCCGTGGTGGTTCTGAAGGGTGGTAGTGTTGGTCGAGGTGTTGGACAGGTGAAGTTGGAGTCGGAGTCAGCTCCTTCAGAGGTGAAGGTAACAAAGCTTGGTTTGTTGCTGCTGGTGACGTTCTTGATCCACTCCTCGTACTGGGACACTCGGGCGTAGGCTCCGGGTGATTTAGGCCGGGCGCAGCCGTCACCAAAACTCACAACTCCACTCTGGACCCACCTTGCACCGTCTTTGCTCATCATTGGGCCTCCTGAATCTCCCTGTGGAAAGAAATGAATGATAGTTGTTGAGGTGGAAGCATTCAGCCTGCCAACGCATGAATCCCGCAATACTGTTTGGTGGGAAGCTAGCTCTATAGCTCTATGACGTGTGTAGCCTAGCTTAGCGCAAAGACTGGAAGCAGGGGGAAGCGGTTAGCCTACGTCAAAGGCAGCGGTGTACCTTCTTAGCTAGCTAGCTAATCACACTTCCAAGAGGCAGCTACCATCTGATCAGAGTTAGTTAGTTAGAGTGTTAGTCAGGAAACTACAATCATGACATGTTTCTGTCTAAACATGTTAAATACACACATACAATATATTAATAAGGTGACTTTGGACCTTTTTGTTAGTTAGCTTTTTCCAGCTGTTTTTCAGTGCTAAGCTAGGCAGAACACCAGAGCTTCCTCTGTGTTGAATAGACAGAACTGATCTTTACGTATAGTAAGTTAATCAGACATGTGTTTTTTTAAAAGAAAATGTCAAAATATTAGAAAAATGACACAAAAACGAAATATATCTCCAATAAGCACAATCCTTTTCACTAACATTATGTTGCTGCCATAAATTTTAGCTAACGTTAGCTGTTCTTGGTAGGAAAAAGTAACAGATATATCGAATAAAAATATCTACAAACAACAAAACAACTGAGACGAACCATGCTACTATGTAGGTATAAGGTAAGCTTAAACTGTGAATTAGGGCTAACATATAACTGTAGATTTGTCAAAAAGTCAAGTTCAAACAAATTCAAACCCATGTAATGTGTAGTAAAATTTCTACTTCAGTGAATGTAGGATGGACGGTATATGGACATGCAGTGAATTTTTAGGGAGCCCTCTGCTGGACCACAAGGCAAATTACAGCAAACTGTCTGATACACTGATGGACTTTAAATTTAGAATTTAAACATTCCCTTTGGGGATTTGCCAGACTTTACAGTGGTTTCAATACATATCAAATACATATTTCCAGGATGCTTCTGCGGATTACCCTGCTTTGTCTCACCTCTCTGTGAGGATATATTTCTCCGCTGGCAGCCGTAAAAACCAAAAAACAAACATTGCATAACAAACACAGATAAAGGGGTGGTCACCTGACATGAATCTTTCCCTCCAGCTTTGATACCAGCACAGATCATGTTCTCGGTGATAGTAAAGCTGTGGTAGCATTGGCACTGTTTGTTTCCCACTATTGGTATATTAACCTCCTGTAGGGTCTCGGCTGAGGAAAAACCTTGGAGAGATTTTAAAGGATAAGATTCAAATTAATGTGTGATAACAAAAATAACGGCTAAGAGTTTTGCAAGTAAGAAATATGAAAGTAAAAAATATATTTTGTGCAAAAAAAAAAAAAACCCAAACATTTTTCAAGCATTATTAGCATGTCACTACACATCGCATCTCTAGGCATCATGGAAAATCAGAACTCAGGAGAATCATTTAAGAATTATATGAGGCAATGTTTTACTTTGATTGTACGATCTGTTAGCTTACCATTTTCCACGGTATCACCCCAACCAGTGACCCAGCTGCTCGTCCCATTGTGGAAAGTGCTGCCTTCTGCGGCTAAGCAAATTGGCTGTATGTAGTTAGTAAAATTCACAGGGGCCGACAGCATCAGAAGACATATGTCGTTGTCCAAGGTCAGGGTGTCGTAGGAAGGGTGGCAAGCGTACCGAGCAACTGTGCGTGACACTTCATTGACGTTTGGACCAGACTGGTTGTAGCGGCCCAGATAAACCGTTATCTCCTCTTGAGACCTTGAAGGCAAAAAAATAAAGTAGTCATTTTTAAAAAAATTTTTTTGATAGTTAGCTTTGTGTCAACTGAATAAGTGTTGATGCTTTATTCGCAGATCTTGATTCTGCGGCTGATAATACACAACTAAATTAGGTGATGTTGCCAACGAGCATTGCCCGTCATAGGCCGAGGAAATAAACGCCGTGGACGGACATCTTTTATTTTTCGTCACATTTTTCAAAATATGTACTCTTCATCTACTTTTAAGGTTGCTACTTCTCCCACCTGAAGTCAGGTGACCTTTTAACTTGCTGGCCACATTCTTCACTGAAAGTTCAACAATTTAGGAAATACGGCAGCAGTAATGAGAAATAGTTCTGCACATAACCCACCATAAAACAGCTGTTGTTTTTTTATATCTTTGTTTTTGTACAGATTAAACGAATGGGATATAACTTGCTAAGTGAGTTTTACAGATACTGAACTTGGTGGGTTTTATTATCTTCAGATAGATCTAGGCTAGGTGGTTCCCTCTGTTTCCAAGATAAGCTGTTGACCTTTGCATCACTTTCAGTGGATCGACAGTACAGTGCTATCAACATTCTTATCTAGCTGAGATCTGATCACAACATATTCTTCTTTTTTTTGTTGTTATCCAGATAAGATAGATCACATGTTGGCACCAATGTACCACTGACCACCTAAGGGTCCAGAACTCGTAGTCAGTTTATTCCTTTCTTTCCAAATAATTCCAAATATGTTCTCGCTTTGATTAAGACAGCCTTGAAACAGTTTGGAAAAACAGTAAGTCAAGGATCCTTTGAAAATTATTTTGGTAAGTCTTGATAATAATTTTCCAGTTGTTATTGCGCTGTGTTTGATGTGTGGATACACCTGTGTCACAGGTGGAATGTGGACGGTGGAGATGCCTGTTGTGCACAGGAGCGTGTGAGGGATGGGGTTTTGACAAATGCCTTTTTAAAATATGTTTTCACTTGCTTGAGATGAGAGGTGAAAGTGGATTTCACGTTGTATGATTGTAAAAAAAAAAAAAAGTATGAGTGAAGTAATATTTGAACATGGTCATGTTATGTATTTCCAGTCTATATGTCCTGCTGCAAGGAAACGTCCCACAGTAACTCCTCACCCCACTATGCAGTGAGCAGCTGTCAGCACCCACTGGTTGTTGATCAGTGACCCCCCACAGAAGGGAAAGCCATCACTGTTCAAACTGGCCTGCCAGGGCCAGCTTCCTGGCGCCGCATCTTGACCTCCCACAATTCTGGTGTTCAGAGGAGCCACGCCGCATCCTGGCATTGGAGAATAGACGAGGATTAAACATGGTCAATATGCAACAGGTTCTCATACCTGGTTTACACAATGTTGTGCTTGGATGCTTACCAAGACTCTGTGATACACAACCTGAAATTCAAAAAGAGAGAAAATTGTGTTAGGCAAACCTGTTCAGGGTGAAGCAGATGATAACTTGCACGGATAACGGACAGAATGTCAATGACTTAAACTGTGGCCTTCCTTATCGTGGGCAGACTCCTCTAACATCCCAAGTTGTTCACATCGTGTACAGTATGTTTTGGTAAAAGCTGAAGATCCAGATGGTAAAAATAATGACTGTAATTATACTATTTTTTATTTTTTTATTTATTTATGTTATCGCAGAGTATGACAAAATTTGCACCCTAGCCAAACTCGGACTCACATTCACATCTAACTTGGATGACGTGATATTTTACGTGTGACACCACTGTTAAATCTTTACCTCGGCATGCCCTGTCAAATAAGAAACTATTGAAAATCGTTCTCAGCAAATGCACAAAAGAATTCCGGTGATCATGTAGCACAGTCGCACATAATGACACTAAACATAAAAAGTCAAAAGGAGAGAAAATGCAAGTGCAAATACATTTGGAAGAAACATATTAACACTAGTTTCCTCTTAATTCACGCAAAAACCGACAACATTTTGAATTTATTAATATTACCGTATGTGCCACAATGACCAAAACATATGTTGATATCCATGTAACTTGTAATACTACTCTTCTGTCCATGAATGTTCCATATAAAACGGGCACCGTTTTGTTGCCGTATAAGGCCGTGACAGTTATACAGGGTTGATGCAAACATTTTTCAGTTCTGCACTTCCAAAGAATAAGTTATAATAAATGTACCCAAATGAATTGCTGTACTTGTTTAATTGATCATTGTTTAAAATAGAGAAATAAAAAAGACAGGTATCAAAATTATTGGCTGAATATAGGACAAAAAAATGACAAAGCGTCAAAGTGTTAAAATACCCATTTATTTGTAGTGAATATAACTGATTAACTTGAGTGTTTTTGATTACATTATAAAAATCAGTCACTCTGCTTTCACATAGTAGATATTTGTTAAATAATATTTCTTCTGTAGTTTTAAGAAACTAAAGATCAGCCTACAATTCTGCTGCTTTGACGTGCTCAGGAGGATTTTCCCCTCATACAGAAAACTGTGAAAAACATCTTTCTGATGAATTTTTTATTTTATTTTTTAAATCATTTTGAACACTGCAAAACTGCAGAGTGAGTCATTGGTGTAACTTATTCATATTCCACACGGGCCCTTTCACCATAACCAGATGGAAAAATGTTACCTAGTCTTTAATGTGCAACTTTTGTATTTTTATTTGAGCAGTTTTCAACCCAGGTTTCCATAAGTTGCATGACAGTCTCGTACTCCTTCCACCCTTGATGTGAGCCAAATAATAAGGAAATCTATCCGTAATATTGTAAAGTAAAAATCAAGCCATCTTTCTTACCTTTGGAGAAGATTGTGATCATCACAGTTACACCACACAGAAGCTGCTGGAGAGCCATTTTTGTTTTGCCTCCTTCACTTTGTCCTCAACATTAAATATCTCATTCCTGGCGTGTAGATCCACCCACAGTGTCATACCATTGCACCATAATCACGACTTCTTCCTTTTCACCGACATCTGCACAAAACATAACCATAACCAGTCAAACATGTTTGTCTTGATGGTTGTGTTTGTCTGCTATGTGCATATAGCTGCACCTACGCTCTGTTTGCAGTTCATTAGGTACACCAGTGTAACACAAGGTGAAATTCCACACACAAGTCTTCAGGATCATAATCTGAAAATCTTTTTCTACTTTCCAAAGAGTGAAGAGACAGCTGCTCATTAGCTTCAGTATTGTTAAAGGTAGGGTGTCATTAGCAACCTCAAGGCTGTTGGATAGATATTGGTTTTGTTAATGAGAGAGGCTAAGAGCTTCACGTCATACACACTTTCATCGCTATTTCATGTTACCAAGGTTTTAAAGGCAATTCATTTTTTTATTCAACAACTGAATGTTTTGTAATAAAATCATTTCAAGGATTTAATTATAAAAATTCAGCTTTCCCTGTAGTTGAAATTATTGTAGTAAAGGCCAAAATACATGTAACAGAAGGGAAGACTTGCATTGTCAGTGAAGTTAACACAACAATGATCTAGGTAAGGTTTGCTAACACTAGCTAATATTAGCCACCGTGAGCTAGTTTCGTATTGGAAATATTATTACTGCAAGTTTCCAGATTGTAAATAAAATTGACTTTAACGTCAAAGTTGCTTCGACTTTTCTGAAAAACCCTCATGTATCTGAATGACCACTTACAGCAGTAATACAGAAGTGCCTGAAACTCCTAAAAACAAATAAATATGGACACCTCATATCAGCCGAAGTCCACTGTGCAATATATTTAAACCCAAATGACTAAACTTCTTCTAAAAATGTACCATTTCCCCCTGAAACTGAAATTTGAACATTCACTTTCAATTTTATATGAAAATTAACCACAGATGATTCAAAACCACATTCACTCAGTCCTAAAGGGAGGCATTGCTTTTCAAGAGGACAGTCATTGCTTCACTGTTTAACCTTTAATAAAACATTTTTCCATCAGAGGTAACTGTGCACCTCTATTTGACTCAGAATTGAATTTACTGTAGAGGATTACACATTACTTCCTGGGATATAAGCTGTAAATTCAGGCCAGAATCACACAGGCCGCCTTTTTGGCACTGAGTTTATTATTTATAAGTAATTTGTTTGCTAGCTGAGCTCCGGGGGACTCATGTTTCCTTCCTTTCCTTGTATGAGAAACAAAAGATATGATCCAAGAGGAGTGAAGAAACAACATGTCAACAGCTTTTTTTCTCCGCTGTCCGAGGTTTTTATTTTTTTCTTCTCCATAGCTGTTTTTTATTACCTACATGATTAACAGGAACCCACTCTGCAGTCACCAAACAGCAGTGAAATGTCTCGAGCTCTGCAGCGTGTGTGGACTTCTCAAAGTAAAGAGCAGCGCACATTGTCTGTTCAGCTTTATGGAGTGTGCACCGTGTGGTTGGACTCCATAAGCTTTTTATTCTTACAATGAAAAAGTTCACAGGTAGAACAAACTGTTGTTGTAAAGATGGGACACCAAAGTCATCAATTAAAAGGTGACTTTAAACTGACTGATTGGTTTTATTTTGGCTGATTAAAGCTGTGGTTGGCCAGAAATCGCCCCCTAATTTAATATACAGTACACAGTAAGTACCGTCCTCCATTATATTTGATTGTGTGAATCGGTGTGAAATTTATGCTCTGCCTAGTGCCTTTTACAAGTTCCATCTACACGACTTCCTGCCGACAGTCCCACAATGCAATATGCTCCATTTTATAGATAAAACAAAAAATTATAGTTGTGCAGCCCATCACCTGTCCCTGATGACGCAAAACGCTGATGAGTCATTTGGGTCTGAAATCTCAGTGTAGAGTTTATTACACTGGAAGCAGTGACTGAACGAACAGGGGAGTGATTCTGGACACAGAATTGTGTGAGTGTGTGTGTGAGAGTGTGTGTACTTTTGTTAGGACGTGACTTCCCCATAATATAAATCATTGAATTGAAAGGTAAGGTCTTGGTTTAAGGCATGGTAGTGTTTGGGTCTCCAGGAAATGGATGCAAGTGAAGTGATGGATAGAGTGTGTGTGTGTGTGTGTGTGTGACTGGTTGATTGACATCTTCGTGACTCTCTTGTTAACTCTCGTTATTGCTCTTATACTTTTACCGTTTTTATTAGTAGACAGACTCTGGTGACCTTAAGTATTTTGTCCCAACTTTAGCCTGAGCAGAGATCTATTGACAGAATAAATCAAAAACAACTGTGCGGGGTGTGTGGGGCCTTTTAAAATCCGTCAAACTAGAAAACTCACGGTGGTTTAAGCCTGAGACGAAACCTTTTAAAATGATTATTTCATTACCTGCTTGTGATGTACACAGGTAGATGATGTCACGTATTTACTTCTCACTTAAGGATGTGTTTGCCAACAATCTGATCTTTCTGCCTTTGTGTCTGTGACTTAGAGACGGAGAGAGACAGAGAGACGAACACATCCACATATCTTAGGAACATATGTCAAATCCAACCCATTAAAAGCGTATAATTGGCCTGGCAATCAATCATGCAAGATGCCAGAGTAAAATCAATAAAATCTAATTTTAGCTGGCAGCGTGTTTCTCATGTTGAGACTGCCCTGGTGAACAAGCTGAGAGGAGACAAAACAAATGATTGCAGCATTTATTTATATTTTTCATGAAAGGGATTTGCATTATGTCCAGTGTCTGATGCATTGTATGGAAAGCAAAAGAGGACATAATATTTTGTTTTCACATGATTATCAAATAATTTTACAAGCATGTCATGCTGATACAGGTAAGTTTTGTGTTGATGTTGTTGCCTGGACAAATACATTTGTGTAAAGTGGTTTCATATTATAAAGCAGCCTGCTAGTATCATAACAACTGAATACATAAACAAGATTTTATTTGATATGATCTAAATTCTAAAGCCACCAGATTAGTGTTCGGTATTCTGCTAAACCAGATTGATGTGCCGATCCACCCACATATTCAGGAGCGGGATTAGTGAGTTGACATGTTCTTTTAACTTTATGTTTCAGTCCTCTGTTCGCAGGAGAAATGTCAAAGCCAAACCGGCTCAAACTGCGTGAGAAATTTGTGTTACAAAGAAAAGACAAAGACATTGGCTGTTGAGACAATGGCCTGTTTGATGGCATGTGACGAACAGCTGAAATGTCGCAGGGGTTTGTGAAGGAATGAGGATGGTGTCAGTTATCACCATCAGACAATGCGTGACTTAAGGCTTGAACTTCGTGCAGACACAGAACATGCAGTGCAACTCTGCGCTGGCACAAAGGTCAGCTCCAAACCCTAGCTCTTACTTTTTTTTTCTTTCTTGTCACTATAATTGGTGGAGTGGCATGCACATACACCTCCCTGAAATTACTCACATTCATTTCATGTTTGTGTCCTTGTCTGCCTTAAAGCTTTATTCACTCTTCAGCTAGAAGACACAGCCATTTTTTTTTTTTTTTTTCTTTTTCTTAACCAGGAAAGATGGATGTCTAATTCTTGCCACAGCCTCTCATCGAAGCCACTTGGTCATCTTACATAACAAAGCACCAGGGTGTTGCACAATAAGGCACGTAAACTTTTGGGCTTTGAGTTCACACAGTCCCAAATCAAAACACTGTCCAGTACCACCAGTCTTCACCCAGGAGCATTGGATAAGACAAAAGTAGCATATTCTTTTAAGATAACAATAGTTATTAACATTTGGCTTATAGAGCTTTATAGAGCTGTGAAGTAAAGTAATCAAGTTAAACCCAAGTGTAGTGATGTGTAGGTGAAACATAGCTAGGTAGTTGGGTATAAATGCCTTTTAGGGTCATAAATCACATTATGTACTGCAACTCTCTGAGAGACAGGTTTCATTGAAATGTTTATTTCATATGACTCATGAGGTTTTCATGGTAATTTGAGTTCATACAGATGTTAAAAAGGATTAAAAATGCAATAAATAAGATGTCAGAAAGGTTAACACTGATAAAAAGTTTGTCTAAAATTTACCAGTTTTAAAATAACGATTGGTTGATAAATTAAATGCCCGTCGTGTGGGGGTTTTGTTTTGGTTTGGAGGGTAACGAGTTACAATTGTCGTTGTATTTCATTATTTGTGTATGATGTTGTTAATGTGCCTTTATATGTACAATGCGCTACGTTCTGATTATTGATGGACACTAGCCTAACATGTTTGAGCCTGCTTATACGGACACTTAAAAAGTTAGAGTATTTTTTTAACTTTCACGTTTTGTTTTCTTGTAGTTTTCATGGTGTCTTCTGATGTTATCATCTAACAAGACAGAAAATAAGTCTTCAGAAGACATCTGTATAATGTGTGGCCATGACTTTTTGTTGGACCAGTGTAGCCACATGTACCTTTTTAAAAAAAAAAAAAAAAAAACACAAAGACTCAAGATGACATTAAAAAAGGTTTAATTTTGACGTCATGCGCTCTTGCATCTGACTCAGCTAAAGTTTGAGTTGAAGGTCGATGTCAATGAAGAAAGGAAGGGGAAGAATAAAAGTGTTGTCGAGCGCCAAGGTGCACAAAGAGAGGAATGGTGAAGACAAAGAAAAGAGGAAAGGTAGAGGTTTGTGTATTAAAGGTGAGAATAGAAGAGTTGGAGGATGCGATGGGTAAAGGAGAGGTTGATTGTGATACTGCAGCAGCAAGACCAGTTGTAATGATACTGATTGTGATGCAATCATGCGAAACCTCTCAAATCAGATGGACAGAGAGGGAGAATCTTGATTGGAGGTGAGCGATGAATAGCTTGGGTGTCCTCTATATATGTGTGTGTGTGTGTGTGTGTGTGAGTAGAGCGAAGTGGAGTAGAGTGTGGTGTGTGTGTGTTTAAATCTCAGCATCATGTTATTTCTGTCACATTCATGCTGAAAGCAAGAAGATCAGTTGCACCCACTCAAATAACCCTG